GTCTCTTTACCATTGGACCTAAAGCTCTAGCCTCGTGACCAGGGTGTACAGCCAAGGTGATGTGTGGGACAGCAGAGGAAGACATGTAATACCACTCACACTGTTCAGGAAGCAGCCGTGTATGGGCCGCCACACCCTCAGGCCCAATATAAATGTAATCTGATTCTAATGTCCACCTATCACTTTCAATTTGTTTGAATTGTTCTCTGTACATTAAGTCTTGGTCTCTGTCATAGAATAATGTCAAGTGGGCAGGGTCCAGTGGGAGGTGGTAGGAGGCCAAAGAATTTATCCAGGGTTTCCACTTGAAGAAGACGGAATGCACACCATTATTGTCCGTGGACTTGTTTTCTGGGTCCAGTCTCACCCAGTATATGTCTGCATACTGGTCTGGCATCTCTTCTCTCAGAAGCCAGCAGGAGTCCATCGATACACCGGTCACACATCTGTAAATTTGTCCCCCTGGAAAAGTCACTTGTAGACCATCCGGTCCACATAGAATTGACGCATTGGTTTTAGTCAATAAGTCTCTTCCCAGCAGGTTGACAGGTGTTTTAGGAGCATTTACAAAAGAATGCCACAGTGTCTGTGTTCCAATTTGTGTCTTTTAAACGTTTAGTGAGTGGCAGTACCTCAGGTGTCCCAGAAAATCCAACCAGGGTGATGTGCTCCTCAGAGAGCAGGACAGGGCGTATCTTTGTATTGATGGTAGAGTAGGTGGCGCCAGTGTCCACCAGGGCCATCAGGTTGTCGTCCTCCACCCTTATGGGGAGCATAGGCTCTGCTGGTACCTTGTCCCCTGGATTTCCTAGGCAGCCCTAGTAAGATTGTTCATGTTCATACTCGCCCCAGTAGTTCCCATGCTGGAAATATTGTCCATCTCTCGGGGCCAGGTTGTCATTCGGAGCCGTCCATGGGGAGGGAGGGCCTGCGTGCTCTGGTCTGGGTCCCATGCCTCTCTGGGGGCCCCTCCCACGCACCATCTCAGGCGCTCCATGGTAGTAGGTGGCCTCTCCTTCAAAGGGGCAGTCCCTCGCCCAGTGACCGTGCCTGTAACAGAGGTGACACACATCCCTGCCCCCTTTCCAGCTTCCACCCCTTCTTCCTCCCCGGCCCCCACGCCCACCACCTCTGGCCCCTCCCCTTGTCCAGTCCTGTCGTGGTGGAGTGGGAAGTCCAGCAGGCATATTAGTCATCTGATTACTGGTTCCTTTTTTTATTTTGTGTGGCTTTATTTCTCGCTTCACTAAGCTGTAACTTCAAAAGTTGACAAGTCATATCTTCAACACTCTTTCTTTCTTTAGTTTTATTTTCAACATATCGCTTAATGTGAAAGATTAAATTTGTTTTCCACTGTGCTGAATCCGGGTTAATATTATCTGGGTTGTCTTCAATCTTTGAGCGTATTGTTTCTGGTAAACCATTCAAAATAGCTGCTCTAAAAGGCATGACTTCACTGACCTTGTGAGGGTGTCTTCCTACTGTGTCCATCCACTTGGTCACACTCCTGTCATAAAATACAATTGGGTCCTCAGACTCCAGCCAAGTTAACTCACGAGGGGCAGAAGACAGCGGGGTTGGAAAGTTCTCCCTCAGTGCTTCATACCAGGCATTTGCATACTGGCCAAATCTGGAAGAATCACAAACATCAGCAGTACCAGCTTGTCTTTCAATAGCATCTCTCTCCCATGGTTTACTGCATGCTGCCATCACTGCCCGGACGTCACCCATCGCGACATCATGACCTGTAAACCATGTGTTCAGACTGGAAATCCAGTTTCCAGCTCCCTGACACAATGGAGGCATTTTGTCTTTTATAGTCTGCATGTCACTTACAGAAAAAGGATGGTACTCCCCAGCTGCGCCTCGTCCTGGTCTCAGAGGGAACATGGATTTTGTCTGAGACCTGGTTCTGCTTGCCACCGGTCTAGTTTCTCCAGGCTCCTGGTCTCCGTCATCACTACTGTCAGAAGAGAATTTAGCTCCTTTTTTAGCCTGTTTAGCTTTAAGTATTGGCTGGGCCATGGCACCGTCTCCCTTTTCATTTTCACTGTCCGTCCTAGTCATGGCTCTGCGTGCGGCTTTATTAATTAATTTTGCATTCTCCTGTCTAGCGGTCTCGTAATCATGGGTCCTACTTGGGGTTTCTTCTCCCTCAACTCTGTCTGTGGTGCATTCAGAGGTCGGTTTCCTAGCTCTAATATTTCTGAGAGAGTGCAGGAGCAGCTCCTGCACCTCTTGGATGGGTGGGGGTTGGTGAGGGGTGTGTGGGAGCTGTGGCGGGCTGCTGACAGCTGGATTTTGACTCGGATCTCTATTGTCCCCCACAGACTCCTGTTCTGTCCCTTCGTCAAATTCACTGTCTACAAAGTCATTGTCCCCTCTCTTTCCTACCGCCACTTCTCCTGAAAATGTATATTGTGGCAATATTAGATTTGGCTTACCTGGTTCTAAACCTAGAGAATATTTTGGTGGAGCCGTGGGTAGGGATGGGTATATATTACTCACCGGCATTGCTCCGTTTTCTGTTTCCTTGTCTTTACTTACCATCGGTAATTTTGCCAACGCCGTGGCAGCCAAAGCAAAATTATGTACCTTGGTCCTCAGTTTCTCAGCCTTTTTTAGTTCCTTCTTAATTTTTCTACGCTCATTCCAACTCTCTCCCTGCTTTCCCTCAAGCTCTTTTAAATCCTGTTTTAGATTATTTTCCTCTTCCCGCAATATCCTAGCTAATGCGGACGCTGTCATATACTCAGGTATGACCCTTTTGTTCTGTATTTTTTCCCATGCTTTCACAGCCTTTCGTTTTGCCTTGTTCCTATATTTTTTATCCAGACCACTCAGAATCTGAGCCTCTATTTCTCTATATAGCTGCTCGATTGGAATGCCTGTCTCCATTTTTCGGGGGGGCCCAAAATTCCCCCAGGTTCCAATGGGTTAAACCTAACTTGTGTGTTGACGCGTCCGTCAACCACGCTAGTCACAGCGGGCTTTCCTGTTTCTGGCAAGGCTTCTCAAAAAATCTTTACTTTTAATATATTCTCGCAGGGTTCTAGCTACTTAGACTCCTATTTTATTTAATTTTAACGTATTTTCGCAAGGCTCTCACTACTTTTTAGGCTTTTACTATTTTTACTTTTTGAATTAGCTCCTCCGTGGACAAAACTTCTCTCCCCTTAATTTGTGTAGTCCAATATGCAGATTTTTAATTAGTCAAAAGGTATCTGCTTACCTTCAAATCAGCGGCCGCTTTGAGGAGAGATGCAGAGTCCAAGGGAGAGGTTGAAAGTCATCAAAGGGATCACGTTGAGGGTCACCAATTATTATATTAAAAAATGACGTGTTCAAAATCCCTTATAAAGATGACCATGATTCAGGAAGTTAAATTCAAAAAGGTTTATTTCCCTAATACAAAAAGAATCTAAAACAGCTGTTCGGACCAAAAGTAACTATCCCTTATTCTCTATATAAAATATAAAAGTATGATTTTGGTGGGCGCTCCACGCAAATCACACTCCTGTCCCTGGTCCGGTCTAGACTAACACAAGCATGAGGTTATTATAAGTAAATGTGCATGAAGAAGGGGGCGTGTCGTATCAGGCAGATGTCTGGTCCAAGGTCCGGCCTTTTCCTCCGTCTCGCCAAACCTAAACAGAAATCATTCACGCACTACCCCTCCCTAATTCTATCGATTTATTAGTTCCTTTGAGATAAGGCAGAGGGATCTCAAGGCTTCTCCTCCAGATTCTGGACTCCATCTCCTTCTTTCACAACTTGAAAGGATTAGCAGAATCCCCCCAGATTAACTATCATTAACTCACCCATGCACTTTGGACAAAATGGGACAGGGGAGTAGGGCAATACAAGGTCTTTCTTTTTGCTTGGAGACAGACAGAGTTCAATTTCAGGTCAATCTAATTCACATCGCCTTTTAGCCTATATTTAATACAACAAAACACAGACTCAAACACAGACTAGACCCAGGACAGGACCCAGACCGAGTCCCAGGCCAAACCCAGACCAGACCAGACCCAGTTCCAGACCAGAACCAGACCAGACCAAGATTAAGCTGGATATCCTGTTCCAACTCAGAAAGATGACAAAATATTAGTTGTGGACCAATCAACAATCCTCAAAAGAAAGAACGCACGAGATAGCAACTTCAAAAGAGGAACATATATAAAATACTGGTGAAGAAAAAGAATAACCGGAAGAATCTTTTTTGTTATTTTGTCCTAATAGTTTTTTAAGCCTCAAGCAGTGGGAGGAGCTTCAGACAGTGGGAGGGTCCTAAGACAGTGGGAGGAGCCTCATACAGTGGGAGGAGTCTCCTACAGTAGGAGGAGTTCCAGACAGTGGGAGGAGCTTCAGACATTGGGAGTAGCTTCACACTGGGAGGAGCTTCAGACATCGGGAGGAGCTTCAGACAGTGGGAGGAGCCTCATACAGTGGGAGGAGCTTCAGACAGTGGGAGGAGCTTCAGACATCGGGAGGAGCTTCAGACAGTGGGAGGAGTTTCATACAGTGCGAGGGGTTTCAGACAGTGGGAGGAGCTTCAGGTAGTGGCGTAAATAGTTCATATTTCAGACGACAGTTGAAGCGCTGACTGTTTTCAGACTCACTCTGATCAAAACTATGAGGAATGTGTCGATGTCCCATAAAAGATGTGAAAAGACATTATTGGACTGTTCTGTCCCATTAGAAGAAGAAAACCTTGTGAGCGCGTCCCTCCCGTGCGGCGCCGCGGCCGCCCACAGTGATATAGTAATACACATCTTGGCCGTAGGGAGTCAGTGCCGCTCAGATGGAGTATTAACGCATATCACTTTTGTTTGTGATGCTAGCTCAGCTCTCACTCTGTCAGGTGCCGTGCAATAACATAAGATAACATCATAATAATGTTATTTATGTTATTTTCCCCTGAAGAATCCCGGTTAACCTGGCCGTGCTCAAGCTCAACGAGCAGGCCGTGTTAGACAAACTCAAAAACAAGTGGTGGTATGACAAGGGCGAGTGCGGCCACAAGGACTCCGGGAGAAAGGTCAGTGCCACACGCCACACCAGTCCACCTGCACCAGTCTGTGCCAGTCTGTGCCAGTCCACCTGCACCAGTCTGTCCCAGTCCACCTGCACCAGTCCAACCTGCCCCAGTCCGTACCAGTCCAACAACACCAGTCCACATACACCAGGCCACCTGCACCAGTCTGTGCCAGTCCACCTGCACCACTCTGTACCAGTCCAACCTGCCCCAGTCTGTACCAGTCCACCTGCACCAGTCCAACCACACCAGTCCAACCTGCCCCAGTCTGTACCAGTCCAATGACACCAGTCCACATACACCAGGCCACCTGCACCAGTCTGTACCAGTCTGTGCCAGTCCAACCTGCCCCAGTCTGTACCAGTCCAACCTGCCCCAGTCTGTGCCAGTCCACCTGCACCACTCTGCACCAGTCCAACCTGCCCCAGTCTGTACCCGTCCACCTGCACCAGTCCAACGATACCAGTCCACATACACCAGGCCACCTCCACCAGTCTGTACCAGTCTGTGCCAGTCCACCTGCACCACTCTGCACCAGTCCAACCTGCCCCAGTCTGCACCAGTCCACCTGCACCAGTCGGTACCAGTCCAACCCCACCAGTCCACCTCATAACACATGGAGCAGACTCTGAGGAGCCTTTATACTGTATATAGTCCATTATAATGTAACTCCCTCTGGTCCTGGGTACTCACGCTGTGACATTAGAAAACCTATTTCGAAAGTGGTCTCTGGTTTCTCTCTGGTCTTTCTCTGGTCTCTTTCTGGTTTATCTGGTCTTTCTCTCTAGGTCTCTATGTGGTCTCTCCCTAGTCTCTCCCGTGTCTCTGGTTTCTTTCTCTGGTCTCTCTTTCATCTCTTTCTCTAGTCTCTCTCTCTCTCTCTGGCCCCTTTCTGGTCTGCCTCTCACCTGCCCCCGTCCACTTGCACCAGCAACACCAGCCCAGGTAGAAAGAGAGGAAAAACAGAGATCAGAAAGAGACCGGAGAGAGATGGACAAGAGAGACCAGAGAGAGAAAAGATAGAGGACAAGTGATGGAGAAACCAGGGAGAGAGACCAGAGAGTATTTTGACTTCAGAAACTCAAAATCAAATGGAGAAAACGGTTTCTGATCCAGGGTCCCCACATCGCCACACACACCAGTGCACACATAAAATGACGACGCCCAAAACTACATGTGCACTTTTCAAACAGATCAGAAAACCCGTTGCTCTCCGCTCAGTCTCTGTGATGTCACGCTCTTCTTAGATTAACTTAGCTCCCGCTTCTTAAACAAAAAAACATCTGAAACTGTCCCAGATTTATGCAGAGTGAGCGATAAGAAGGCTCCCGAGACCAGCAAGAGACCAGAGAGAGACCGCAAAGGGAAAACGTGAGAGAGAGGGCAGAGAGAGATGGACAAGAGAGACCAGAGAGAGGGACAAGCGAGAGAGACAAGAGAGAGACCACAGAAAGAGAAAACCAAGAAGACCATAGACAGAGCCTGGGAGAGGCCACAAAGAGGCCCTGCTCCTCAAATCAAAAACCATCTGAAAATGTTTTTGACAAAGTGTCCCAGATTTCTCTAGAAGGAGAGTGAGCGATAAGGTTCTCCAGCGTCAGCACCATGGATTCTACTGAGTAAGGACAGCAGCTGAGGGGGGAGGAGAGGGGGAGACAGAGGGGAGGAGAGGGGGAGAGAGAGGAGGAGAGTGGGAGAATGAGGAGAGGGGGAGAAAGAGAGGAGGGAAGGGGGAAGAGAGGGGGAGACAGAGGGGAGGAGAGGGAGAGAGAGAGGAGGAGAGTGGGAGAATGAGGAGAGGAGAGGGGGAGAAAGAGAGGAGGAAAGGGGGAGGAGAGGGGGAGACAGAGGGGAGGAGAGGGAGAAAGAGAGGAGAGGGGAGAAAGAGAGGGGGAGACAGAGGAGAGGAGAGCGGGAGAAAGAGGGGAGGGGAGGAGAGGGGGAGACAGAGGGGAGGAGAGGGGTAGAAAGAGAGGGGGAGAAGGGGAGACAGAGGGGAGGAGAGGGGGAGAATAGGGGGAGAAAGAGGGGATGAGAGGGCGAAAGAGAGGAGGAGAGGGAGAAAGAGAGGAGGAGAGGGAGAAAGAGAGGAGGTGAGGGGGAGAAAGAGAGGAGGAGAGGGGGAGAAAGAGGGGAGGAGAGGGGGAGAAAGAGTGTGCGTGTGTGTCCATATGTATCTGACAGTGCAGGGTCTCTGTTGCAGGATAAGACCAGCGCCCTGAGCCTCAGTAACGTGGCCGGGGTCTTCTACATCCTGATTGGAGGACTGGGGCTGGCCATGCTGGTCGCGCTGCTCGAGTTCTGCTACAAATCCAGGATCGAGTCGCGACGGATGAAGGTCAGACTCCGTCACAGAACACTTTCCTGCTCCGTCAAAGTGTCTGTCACGCTGCAGTGGAGGGTCAAAAACATAATTCATGAGGTTTTCGTTCTCACTGTTATTTCAAAGTAATGTGTCTGGACTGTGAAACATTGTACGACTACATTACTTTGAAGTTACAAATATATAAATACACACTAAATATAGCTTATGATGCTGGTGTGAGGCTGTTTGAGCTGAACTGTAATAAGAGTCTGTCCATCTGTAAAATGTAAAATCAGCTTCTGCATCAGCCTCGTCCTCTTCTACCAGAAAGGAACAACACTTCTAGACAGCTACTATAGGAAGATCTTTGTTTACACCTGCGTGCGCATGCGCCCCATACTGAAGCATGGATACCACAGTACTTTTAAAAGACTCAGCGGGCAAATGGCACTGTATATAAGCATTTTAACACAAGCAGATCAGAGGAGACAAGCTAAAAATAAGTTTATGAGACCGAACTGAACAAATCCAAAGCCCATATGAGACCTGGAATGACGGGAAAAAACATTGGTCAGACTCACCTCTGTTTTGGCACCGTTCTGCTGGGACTGGGACTCGGAGACATGTATTCTTACTTCATAGAAAACCCGGGTCCGTGGTGAAAATCCATTTCTTGCGTTTTTCACCGCGGTAAAGTGGCCCGTCAGGTACATTGAAAGCGGGTTGCCCCTTTTTGCTGTTACTTACGGTAAAGGTGGAACAGGAAGCCGCGGGGATGAGCAACCAAAATCCCCCCCCCCGGCTTCCCGTTCTACGTTTACCGTAAGTAACAGCATAAAAGGGCACCCACTTTACCGCGGACGTTTTTTGCTGTTCTTTTCCGAAAGAATTAGAAAAAAAAATTAATCCGTCCCCAGCGGGCCGTACAACCGACCACACAACAGAAACGGACCATTTGATTTAGTAGAACCTCTCTACAAACGTCTAAAAATAGCTAACTCTCTAGCATTCAGGTAGCTTTCAATGCTATAGTACCACCCGGCCACGTGACCGGCGCGGAAAAACTATAAACAACGGCATCACTCCAAGATCCTCCTATTGGCACAGTAGTTTTCTCTTCCGCTGATCTCGTGGTGGAATGATATAAAAACAAAACATGATACAGGTTAAATGAAGGTGTCTCCCATTACAGTACTAACCAAGCCATGCCTTGCTTAGCTTCAGGGGTCTGGCAGGATCTGGCTTTCAAGTGTAGGTTTCGGCACTTAGTATGAATTCTGACAGTCGGTTATTTTCCTTTTAAAACAGTGGAATTGGCCTTTTACAAACGTGTCCATTGAAACCTATAGGACTTTAAAGCCGAGGCGCAGTGGGCTCCCAGGGCACGGCTGGAGGGACTTCGATCCTTCTCTCTCCACAAATGAGCATCTTTGGGGCCGAGTTAGAGCCGTAATGGAACAGAGAACTTAAGCGACGTCTTGGGTCCCGTGGGGCCCGAGTGCGCGTTTGACCGTTGCCTTTGAACGCACCGCAGCCTCATTACCCAGAGGAGGTCAGTGAAGGCACCATTCTGCTTCAAACGCAACTCACAGAACAGCGCTTAAAGAAGACTAAATGTGCTTCTGTCTGCGCTTCAGCTCCACAGCGCCCCCTGTGGGCTATTAACATATTTTTATAAACATTTTGATCTAAAACAGGTGTCTTCAAATGACCAGTAGCGAAATGTTAAATGGTCTGTAGATATTTACAAAGTTATGTTTTCTTGTCCCACAACTCTTTTACAGTTAGAAACCATCCTTTTTGTCCTGAAAATGTAGTTCTCTGTGGGAAAAATGTAAAACTGTACTGAAAGACAAGCTCCCTATTTTCTCTAGTCTCTTTCTGGTCTCTGGTGTCTCTCCAGTCTTCATCTGGTCTCTCTCTCTCTCTCTCTCTGGTATCAGGTCTCTCCCTCTCTCTGGTATTAGGTCTCTCTCTCTCTCTCTCTCTGGTATCAGGTCTCTCTCTCTCTCTCTGGTATCAGGTCTCTCTCTCTCTCTCTGGTATCAGGTCTCTCTCTCTCTCTCTCTCTCTCTCTCTGGTATCAGGTCTCTCTCTCTCTCTGGTATCAGGTCTCTCTCTCTGGTATCAGGTCTCTCTCTCTTTCTCTCTGGTATCAAGTCTCTCTCTCTCTGTGGTATCAGGTCTTTCTCTCTCTCGTCTCTGGCCTGTCTCCGGTCTCTCTCTCTCTCTCTCTGGTATCAGGTCTCACTCTCTCTCTCTCTCTCTCTCTCTCTGGTATCAGGTCTCTCTCTCTCTCTCTCTGGTATCAGGTCTCTCTCTCTCTCTGGTATCAGGTCTCTCTCTCTGGTATCAGGTCTCTCTCTCTTTCTCTCTGGTATCAAGTCTCTCTCTCTCTGTGGTATCAGGTCTTTCTCTCTCTCTCGTCTCTGGCCTGTCTCCGGTCTCTCTCTCTCTCTCTCTCTGGTATCAGGTCTCTCTCTCTTTCTCTCTGTCTCTGGTATCAAGTCTCCCTCTCTCTTGTCTCTGGCCTGTCTCCGGTCTCTCTCTCTCTCTCTCTCTGGTATCAGGTCTCTCTCTCTCTCTCTCTCTCTCTCTCTCTCTCTCTCTGGTATCAGGTCTCTCTGTCTCTCTCGTCTCTGGCCTGTCTCCGGCCTCTCTCTCTCTCTCTCTCGTCTCTAGCCTGTCTCCGGTCTCTCTCTCTCTCTCTCTCTCATCCCTGGCCTGTCTCCGGTCTCTCTCTCTCTCTGTCTCTCTCTCTCTCTCTCTCTCTCTCTCTCTCTCGTCTCTGGCCTGTCTCCGGTCTCTCTGTCTCTCTCTCTCTCCCCTCTGGCCTGCCTCCGGTCTCTCTCTCTGGTTTCTGGTCTTTCTCTCTCTCTCTGGTCCCTCCATGGTTTCCCTCTGGTCTCTCCCTCCATCCTCTCTGCAGGAGGTAGCGTAAACGTGTGTATGGGAACATAAATATAAATGACAGATAACTCCCAGAACAGTTGAAGTTCTTTCAGAGCGGGAGTGATTTGGACCAATCTGTGAGACGAGCGCTGTCACCGCCGCAGCCGCGGAGGAAGCATGAGGCTCAGTGTGTCTCTGTCCTGGTTTACGTCTGCAGCACAAGAAGCTTGTCTCACTTTTTCTGGAAGACTGTTCCCTATTTTAGCCGCATGAATCTGAAACGCTGCCTTATTCCTGACTCCGGGCACCAACAGGAGGCCAGTCCCTGTGCTCCTCAGAGTCCCAGCAGGAGGCCAGTCCCTGTGCTCCTTATGTGGACTAATGTGATTCTATTTCCTGGTTCTAGTCCGGACTCGAGCGGCAGTGTTTGAATGAACTTGTAATTGTACCTTATTTGTACCATATGCGACATTAGGTAGAATAAGCAACTCGAGTCCGGACTAGAACCAGGACGTAGCATCACATTAGTCCTGGTCTAAAACTAAAAGTGACTAACTCTGTATTACTAAACTATAGTGTTTTGCTCTAAATAATTACATAGTTACATTGTGCAAGGTTTTCATAGTTTTATTTTGAGATTCTATCCTGAAAAGTTTTATTTGGGTTTTTACTGTGGGCCAATTGTGAATGAGTTAAATTCCAGAAGTAAATTAACTTTGGAAAGATATTCTACTTTTCTGAGTTTCACCTGTAGCCAGTTTAAAAGGCAGAAAACAGTTGAGGCCTTGAACCATGTAGAGAGTGATGCTGCTGGAACGAGGGGGTTGGGGGAGGTTCCTTATGTCAGCGTGGATGCAGCTAAACACAGCTCCAGGTCTGTTCTAGTGTTACAAACATAACTCGTCCTGTTTGCGTGTCTCTGCAGGAGCTGATCGATGCCGCCATGATGAGCTCCAGCTTCAGTGGGATGGCTCCTGGAGGGGGGGCCGTGGTCATGAGCGCGCTGTCCGCCTCCGGAGCTCCTATGCTGGGGGAGAACGGTCGAGTGGGCCCCTGTATGAGCCGAGGAGGGGGGCTGTCCTCCACGGGCATGTGACAACCGATGGACCAATCAGAGCGCTGCAGACCCCCGATGGACCAATCACAGCACTGCAGAGCTCCTATGGACCAATCAGAGCGCTGCAGACCCCCAATGGACCAATCACAGCACTGCAGAGCCCCAATGGACCAATCAGAGCGCTGCAGAGCCCCGATGGACCAATCAGAGCGCTGCAGAGCCCCAATGGACCAATCAGAGTGCTGCAGAGCCCCGATGGACCGATCACAGAAACTTTCACGACTGGATGTTTTTTATATATGACAGGTGCCAACAGTCCGGAGTTCCCTTTAACTAATTATTTAACACCAATTTATACTTAGTTAAAGGTGACTCACGCTGCTTCTAGTGTATCTCATTTTTATAAGAACACATATTTTTGACCATGTGACCCTGCAGCATCGTCTAAATCAAGTGTTTTTCAGAAAGAATATATTTAAAAATCTCTCTGCTTAGTCTAACTGGGGCTTGCATTAAAAAAAAGTCTCTCCATCTTTGGGTTTTTAAAAGTAGCAGCTGGTCCCGTGTCCGAACAACCTACCCACAACAAACCAGTATCCGGGGAAATTCCTTGGTAACCATGGCTTCCAGCAGCACTCTAGTTCCAGCTCTGCCTGGATAGAACCAGGGCCAAGAGGCACTAAAGAAGGTCAAACCGATTAAATGGGGCTGGTGGAAAATACTCTCAATTATAGTAGAGTGGAGTAGGGTAGAGAAGGGTAGAGTAGAGTAGAGTAGGGTAGAGTAGAGTAGGATAGGGTAGAGTAGGGTAGGGTAGAGTAGAGTAGGGTAGAGTAGAGTAGGGTAGAGTAGAGTAGGTAAGGTAGAGTAGGGTAGGGTAGAGTAGAGTAGGGTATGGGTAGGATAGAGTAGAGTAGAGTAGAGTAGAGTAGGGTATGAGTAGGATAGAGTAGAGTAGAGTAGAGTAGAGTAGGGTATGGGTAGGATAGAGTAGAGTAGGGTATGGGTAGGATAGAGTAGAGTAGAGTAGGGTATGGGTAGGATAGAGTAGAGTAGAGTAGGGTATGGGTAGGATAGAGTAGAGTAGAGTAGAGTAGAGTAGGGTAGGGTAGGGTAGAGTAGGGTATGGGTAGGATAGAGTAGAGTAGAGTAGGGTATGGGTAGGATAGAGTAGAGTAGAGTAGGGTAGGGTAGAGTAGAGTAGGGTATGTGTAGGATAGAGTAGAGTAGAGTAGAGTAGAGTAGGGTATGGGTAGGATAGAGTAGAGTAGAGTAGAGTAGGGTAGGGTAGGGTAGAGTAGAGTAGAGTAGAGTAGGGTATGGGTAGGATAGAGTAGAGTAGAGTAGAGTAGAGTAGGGTATGGGTAGGATAGAGTAGAGTAGAGTAGAGTAGAGTAGGGTATGGGTAGGATAGAGTAGAGTAGAGTAGGGTATGGGTAGGATAGAGTAGAGTAGAGTAGAGTAGGGTAGGGTAGGGGAGAGTAGGGTAGAGTAGGGTAGAGTAGGGTAGAGTAGTAGCAGAGGAGCTGTATGAAGGGTTCCAAAGTCGATGGTAAAAACCTTCAGTCCTGAACTCGCTGCACCAGGACAAACTGACGCACAGCACTAACTTTCGACCAATCAGCAGCTTTGGACCCGCCCACCACTGAGGAAGGACTGCTCTGATTGGTCCGCTGAGCTCTGAACCACATTTTGTAGCTTTAAAAGACACTGGACTCTTTCTCACACTGTTCACGACCAGGATTCTCCAGGATCCTCCAGGACGGCTGTGATTGGAGCAGGCGGGATCTGGTTACCATGCAAAGTGTCTTGCTCAAAGGCGCACGAGTTCATGTTTTGTTTGGTGTTTTGGTTGAAGCCCGTTATGCAAACAGGAAGGATTTCTCACTGCAGAGCGAGAGCAGGGCGACACTAAAGCTGAGATGCATAACTTTCAGACCCCAACTATGGTCTAGTTCAATTACTAGTATTCACTGGTCTTGGTCTTTGTTTGGGTCTGGATCTGGGTCTGGGTCTGGGTCTGGGTCTTGGTTAGGTACCTCATAGGAACGGACCATGAGACAAACGCTATTTTAAGACTAAAAAATGATGGCAATAACATGAACAAAAAAGGACATTTACAAATTAAAGTATTAGAAGCTAACAATGAGCTAGCTAGCATGCTCTTCTGCTCTCTCTCTCTGGTCTCTCCGGTCTAGCTCTAATCCTACTGGTCTCGCTCTGGTCTTTCTCTAGTCTCTCTGGTCTCTCTCTAGTCTCTCTCTAGTCTCTCTCTGGTCTCTCTCTAGTCTCTCTCTGGTCTCTCTCTGGTCTCTCTCTAGTCTCTCTGGTCTCTCTCTGGTCTCTCTGGTCTCTCTCTGGTCTCTCTCTAGTCTCTATCTTCTCTCTCTGGTCACTCTCTCTCTCTCTCTCTCTGGTCTCTCTCTAATCCCACTGGTCTCGCTCTGGTCTCTCTCTAGTCTCTCTGGTCTCTCTCTGGTCTCTCTCTGGTCTCTCTCTCTCTCTCTCTCTCTCTCTCTCTCTCTGGTCTCTCTCTGGTCTCTCTCTCTCTCTCTCTCTCTCTTTCTGGTCTCTCTCTAATCCTACTGGTCTCGCTCTGGTCTCTCTCTAGTCTCTCTGGTCTCTCTCTGGTCTCTCTCTAGTCTCTGGTCTCTCTCTGGTCTCTCTCTGGTCTCTCTCTGGTCTCTCTCTAGTCTCGCTGGTCTCTCTCTGGTCTCTCTGTAGTCTCTCTCTAGTCTCTGGTCTCTCTCTGGTCTCTCTGGTCTCTGCACCACAGTGATTACTTCACAGGACTACCGCAGTCTTCCTGTATTATGAACAATTGGACAATATTTATTACTAGTTCTAATTCTAAACAGAATCTGTTTTTCTGCACAGATCACCTTCAAGATGTGACTTTTCCAAATGTTTTCACGGTTGTAAGCACAAGGCGTGAGGAAAGACTTTCGTATTATGCATAGAGTAAAGATATTTATATAAAGTGGAGTTTGAACCGATGATTATAATGATGTCAAAGATGTGTTTTCAGATGTAGCTAGTGTTAACGAGCCACATTTCCACTGTCTTCTTCAAACGAGGATCTAGAAAACTTTATTCTACGGACGTTAAGAACTGCTTTTGTGTTCACTTTGAGCGATGGGAAAATGAAAGACAGTGAGGAAAGGTGATGAGTGAAAACAGACAGTTTCAGAGCACCGTACAACAAAAGTGTGAAGGTTTTACAGCCTTAAAACATGAGCTGCTATTCAAGGATTTCACTTATTGTGGGTTATTTTTAGAACACATCACTCCCGCGACAAACCAGTGTACTTCGTATCCAAAAGAACGACTGAATTGTGTAAAATGCAGCGGTCCCGGGACGGATCCTTGGGCAGTACTTCCTGTTTCCTGTGGGTCAGTGGACAAAGCATGTCCCCTGGGCACAGTGGCTGAGTGGTTAGCACTTTCGCCTCTCAGAAAGAAGGTCCTGGGTTTCTGATTCCCAGTCGGGGCTGGGAACAGGGCTTTTCTGAGTGGTGTTTAAAGGGAAAGGATGCATTTGACCCATCCTGATGTTGCTAAGGCTTACGTCAGGAGCAGTGGTCGCCGTAGTAACAGCGCCCGGGAACCCATCTCCAGATGTTGATGCTCGGCTTGGTCAGGACCGGAGCTGGAGGATTTAACTTAGTGAGCATGTTTTTAGTGGTAGGGGAAACCGGAGTACCCGGAGGAAACCTACACAGACACTGGGAGAACATGCAAACTCCACTCAGAAAGACTCTGTTCTGACTGGGATTTGAACCCAGGACCTTCAGAGGCGAGAGTGCTATCCACTTATGCATATTCTCCCGTGTGGGTTTCCTCCGGCTGCTCCGGTTTCTCTCAAGAGTAAAAACATGTACAATAGGTGTCATCCTCCAGATCTGGTCCTGAAGAAACTCAACATCTGGAGATGGTCCTTGTTACTACGGCGACCTCTGCTCTTGACAGAGGCCGTAGTGCAGCATGGGTCAAATGCAGAGGACCCCTCCCTCGGGGAGAATAAAGTCAAGTGTAGTCAGTGGAGATGTGGCTCAGGGGTTGGGTTTCTGCATGAGTTCCGCTTTCGCAGACTTTTCTACGTCACTCGTGTCACAGTGTATTTTATGAATGACGCCGACACACATATGCTTTAACATGTTATGCTTCATTTACTCCAGTTATATTCAAGTCCATTTCAATAAAAAGTATATATTGTACGAACAGTCTCTTTGTGTTTATTGTTGGGTTTGGGATTGGCCTTTTGTTTACATGATGAAGGTGTTTCAGGTGAAAACGTTTTAGATTTATTAAACAAAAGTCTTTGTTAAAATGCATTATAAAAAGAGCAAGTTGCAGTCACTTCAGCCTGACATTCTCTGACTTTACAAACAAACAAACTGTTCAGAGAGAGAGGAAACTCCAGAGTAAGTATAAAGAAGTGTTTCTGGTTCAAAAGGGTATTGCATGATACAACTGAAGGGTGGTATCCACAATATTTTTACTGTAGCCCGTGTTATTATCCAGGTTTTTATCAGGTCGGCCTCAGTCCTGGGTCTACAGCCTCAGTCCTGGGTCTACAGCCTCAGTCCTGGATCTACAGCCTCAGTCCTGGATCTACAGCCTCAGTCCTGGATCTACAGCCTCAGTCCTGGGTCTACAGCCTCAGTCCTGGGTCTACAGCCTCAGTCCTGGATCTACAGCCTCAGGTCAGGATCTACAGCCTCAGGTCAGGATCTACTGCCTCAGTCCTGGATCTATAGCCCCAGTCCTGTCCATCCTTGGGAGCGGATCCTCAACGCAATATGGCTTCCCAGAGGTTTCTCACTTTTTCCTCCACTGGGTTCCTTAGTGGTTACTCTCTGATGCAGGAGGCTCTAAAGACAGTTAGACAGATCCAGGACATTCATTAACTTTCCTGGACAGTGGTCGTCCCGTTCCCTCTGGACAAATGTCTCCTCTGTGATTGTTATTACTGCATTCCTTGTGCTTGAACCGTTTGATTCTTTGATCTGTTGTTGGTGAATCCACAACTTTGTAAA